TAAATTCTGAAAACATACAGAACAACTGGGACCTTGCTCAAGTTCTTAAAAGCGACGCGTTAAGGAACGTCTGCCTGCAGCATATCAAGGCAACCTTTGAGGTCTCAGTTGCCAGTTCTGTCTTTCCCCAACTGCCCCCTGACGCTGTCCTGTCCCTGTTGCGGGCAGATGACCTTCAAGTGGAGAACGAAGAGAGCCTCCTCAATGCGATCGGAAGATGGATCCGTCCATTTGGCAATGTGGATGAAAAACGAATTGTTCACGCAGCAGCTATGATGCAGGAACTGCGCTGGAATCAAGTTGATGCAGACTTCCGATACCGGCTACATGACGATTATGAGGGCTTTTGGAATAAAGATGTGGAATGCTTGTAAGCTGTCGGATAAAATTTAACTTACTGAATTATTTAAGACGACTTCTAAGCCTAATTAACAAGTGGATTGATAGCCCAACCTCGAGGGGCAGTAGACCATGTCCGTTTAATGAAAGACGCAGAGAACGATTGGTGGATAGTGAGCGTCGCCAAAATCCACTGGCAAACATTTGTCTACTCAGTACGACAGAGACCGAAGGGCAGTGTTTGCTGACCCGGTATGATGCTGAAACAAAAACATCGCAGCAACTAACACACGTAACGGCCGGATTGGACGCGGCTTTTGTAGTCGTAGAAGGTAAGTCATAGTTACTCGAACTTTTTTCAGCTGTGTTCACTAATGTTTTAACAAGCGCGGCCAAATAACGGTAGTAGTTCGATGGCTGTGTAATGGCATGAACGTTTTTCGTCTCATCTGTGTATAATCGAATTTGCTAAACATCCACCTACCAGGAACACGCCAACCTTGGCTGCGTTCTGGTTGAGGTCGCGTCAGACGTTGCATTCCGCTGACATGCGATTAGGCTAAGGGTGCTTCACAGTGACACACGGTTTTCCTCGATGAGCCCCTGCATCCCAGTCGGTCTTATTTTGAAGATAGCGTTTGTCCTCTTGCAGATTCTAGCAATTACCAAAAAAACTTTTAAAAGGTGCACTTTTGTTATGGCTTTTCACTGTCAGTAATAGGCTCAATAAGGGGCATGTTATGATATATATACAGGGGTTCCAACCCCTGCTATTGGGTATGGCTGGCTGATGATGGCTAACAAGTCCGAAATGGTCACTCCAGTCTCCCTTTGCTTTGTCGAATCCACTTCGTCATCATACTCTCATAGTCACTAGGTGACTGCCTGCGCAGACCCTGATTGTGAGCTACTGGGCAAAGCGGAAGTTATTTGTTCCTCTACTAGATTGGCAAAGTACATATTTTCATCATATTCCCGATCTCAGCCGACAAAGCAGTGAGCCCGCGGTACCGAGGTAGAGTGTTAAGATCAATGACCAAAGTTTCCGGGTTCAAATCTCGGGGGGTCCAACCCTTGAGATTGGGTATGACTGGCTGATGAAGGCTAAAATCCCAGAAATGGTCATTCCTGTCTCCCTTTGCTTTGTTGGATCCCTTTCATCATATATCTAGTTATCTCACTTGATAGACGCCTTA